TATATATATATATATATATATACATGTATAAAACTTTGAGAAATATAATCTATTTTATTAAGTATAAATAAATTACTAATTAAAGTAAATAATAATCATCAATTAGACATTGAATAGATGTTGAATTTGTGTCGATATCATCGTATCGATATCAATTTGACATTAACTATTCGATAAGTTATTTCTCGTTGAATAATGTTTATTTTTTAAAATAAGATTTCTTTAAAACATATTTTCCCTATACGAATACTTTTTATACTCAATATATCTTTTATGTAGTCTTGCGATTCGAGTTAGTTGCTACGATATTACAACTTTTCTTATTCGGGACGTTTTATTCAATTGTCTCATTGCTGTTGGCAATGAAATATATCCTATTCAAAATGAAAAATCTAAATCAATTTTCTGATTTTAAATTATAATTAACTGAAAATATATATCAGAAAATATAGTTTAAAACGTAAATCTGTAACGAGTTAATAATGAGTAGACCTCGATTATGTAATATTTTACGTTTGATAGCTAAACATTTTCCTTTTTCTATTAAAAAAAGATAAAAATCCTCCAACAGGACAAAAAAGATGTATTGTTTTTACTATAGTAGTAAAAAAATTGCGAACAAAAGATCTAGATTTAAATTTAAGAATGTAACATCGAGCTCTATATAAGTAACTTTTTGATAGTCACTTATAGATAGATTTGTTGCGCAAAAACAATCTTTTAATGTATTGTTATTTACTAAAATCATCATTTCAAATAAATATTTTTTTTTTTTAATAACCTGAAAGAATTGATTAATTAAGCAGATCTTTTATTGGAACAGTATGCGCCACGATTCATTTATTTGAACTTTGGTACGAATGATAGCGACAATTTGACCGTGTTTAGATGTACCAAAAAATTGTATTATGTATTGTGAACATTTTTTAGTGCTGGCAATGTATATTGGAACACAGTTTTCATGTATTGTAGGTATTTCTGATGATTCACGCTTATCAGAGAATGAGATTTTAAATTTCATTGCATTCCCTTTTTAGATTAATTCAATTTTATTTTCCTAGTTTATATAAATCACATTATTTTCAATATTTATTAAGGTCACGCAATTTTTTATTTCTTTAGGAATATAGAATATTGGAAAATGAGCAATGTAAGAAAAGTAAAAAAAAAAATAATAAATACAATATATTAAGATATAATTTCCAGTTCAAAATAAAGAGATCTTTTATTCTTGAAATAATTATTAAATTCAATAATTTTGGAAAGAGAAAGTTAATTAATTATTTTCATTAAATATAAATTTATTATTTAAATATAAATAATTTATGTGTCAGTAAAAGTTATTAATTAACGTTATTATATTAATTAATTTATTATTAATTAGTTAATTATATTATCTTTGCTATATTAAGGCTCATTAAATGTAATTTATCAAATATAATCATGTTTCAATACTTTTTTGTAATTTTTCGTGCGTAAATATGATAACCGCCGTCC